AACCTCTATTAAACGGTCAACCTCTATTAAACGGTCAACCTCTATTAAACGATCAACCTCTATTAAACGGTCAACCTCTATTAAACGGTCAACCTCTATTAAACGATCAACCTCTATTAAACGGTCAACCTCTATTAAACGGTCAACCTCTATTAAACGATCAACCTCTATTAAACGGTCAACCTCTATTAAACGGTCAACCTCTATTAAACGATCAACCTCTATTAAACGGTCAACCTCTATTAAACGGTCAACCTCTATTAAACGGTCAACATCAATTAAACGATGACTTGTTCTTTCCCGAAGGCGACCGCTTAATAGAGGTTCGAGTGAGATAAGTGGTGATTGCTGTAATATAAAGTCAGTTCTTTATAATTTATTTATATTTATTTATAAGCAATATTTTACCAGGCCACACAATTCAGCGTAGGCTGGTTTAAATGGGGGCCTGTAAACAATTTACAAGACATACATTTCAATACATTACATCACATTACATAAACTCATTACAATTACATATCATGGAGAAAAAAGGTGAAATAGTGCAAAACTATTTACAAAGATACTGCTTCAATTTTGTTTTGAAATTAGTAAGAGAAGTTATACTTCTCAGATAGGCCGGAAGTGTGTTCCATACTTTGGCACCGTTATACAGAAAAGAGCTCTGAAATTTAGATGTTTTAGCCAGCGGTAAACGGATTTGGCCTTTATGTCTAGTATTGTAAGTATGGAAGTCACGAGAAAAAGAGAAGTGGTTAAGTAGATAGACAGGTGCTAGGCCATGCAGGCGCTTAAAAACAAGTAAAGAAATTTGATAATTGATAAATTCTCGACCTAAATCTGATCTCTTGTTCCATCAAATTTCTATTCAAAACTAAAACGATGGTGGTCTCACTAATACGAAGGGAGTGTCACACAGGGAACTACATGTAACTATAATAATCTAAACAGTTTAACACGCTATGACTGTAAAAATATCGAAAAGTACAAGTAAGATTATAAAAAAACATTCAAATTGTGTTATCTAAAAAATAAACGATATGCATTGCTTTCGCACTATGTGAAAGGCATCCCACTCTTCTCCTACTAACAGACACAGCTAAACGCCTCCACTCAAAAGGTCTTCGCTACAGGTCTCCTGTAGCAACCTCCCATGGACCGCCAACCTTGCGCATGCTTTAACGCCTGTTGCTGGTTAATAAATGCATAGTTAGTATAGAATTTACTATGATAAATGTAAGGAAAAATATTTATATTAGAAATGTATCGCCAGAGGAAGCACTTTATCGTTGAGGTCTCACTGGTGCATCATATCGTTTTGTGGGGAACGGCATTGACCACGTTAAATTGCATAGATACCCATTAACACGTGGCAAAATGTCATTATAGATTTGAGTGTGTTCTTCACCAGAATAATATTACAGTACGAGTTTGACGAGAGTACTCTGCGAACATAGCTACTGAGAAAAGTAGCTCTGTTCGCAGAGTATGGAAGAGTTTGCGTTAATAAGAACTTGGAACGATTCTCGTCTATGCCGTCGACTTTCTCAAATCTGGCTGTAATTCTTGCGGCGTTCAAATCACATCTCCACCAATCAGAATAGAGCTCGCGCACTTCTTGGATATTAACRTGGCAAAGTGTGCTCTTATCTCAAATGTGTTGATAGTTTTGATTAATTTTAGTCGGCATAATTTACATGATAATCGAGTCTGTTTAATCCAACAGGTGTCATATCTCTATGGCAATAGTTTTATATTGACCTATGTATTAACTTGAACCAAGTACTTGTCAAACACATACTATACTTTTACAGGGGAGGATCCAGCAATTTTTAAAAGATATCAGAACCGAGCCTTGTCTGTTGCTGAATCAATGACGATCGTTGCGGCCTGCCCCCACCCCCCCGGAAAATGTTGAGATTGATATACCCAGAAATGCGATTTACCAGAATTTTAAAAGATTTAGACGATTTAATGAAAAATGGAGGGGAATTTTTAATTTCGCGGGAAATTTTCTTCAGTCGAAAATGCAACTGTAATGTGAAATGTAAATATTTTTTGAGGGTTATTTTATATTCCGATGTTTTCTTGTTTTCTTTTTTATACAATAGTTTTTTATTTTTTGTTCAGGTAGTAAACAAAGCTATATTGGTTTCTACGTAAAACGTTGTTTTATTGGGACAATTAAAAGTAATATAAGCTTTAAATAAAAAAAAGTAATTATGGGGGCTTAAATGATTATTATTCATGCTATCCTATTACACTAAAATGTATTTTTTCTTATAACATTAATGACAAACTATAAAAATGACAGTTTAAGGACCGAGCTTGGTCACTGTTGCCCCAAGTGTAAACGTGTTTGTCTGTTCACCGTCTCCCCAACCCACCACAAGAACATGGATTTCGGTCAGAAGGCTGCTACCCGTTGTCAGGGTGATAGTGTTGATGCCAGTACCACGTGGGTCGTAGTGGGTAGAGCTGATAACGGTGCAGGGAAGCTCGTTCGGTAGGCAGACATACGTTGCCATGGCAGACTGGGAGTCGATACCTGTCACTGCGATCGTGATGTCGTATCTGGAAAATTTATTGTAGTAAAAATGAATTGAGTCGATTACAAAAAAAAAACGTTTTTCAGTGGCGGATCCGGAGGGGTTCCATGGGTTCCTAGGAACCCTCTCGAGCATAAAAATAAAAAAAAAAAAATCAATGATAAATGAAATAAAATGAAAACGCATCGTACACAATTGCATCCGAGAAGGATGAAGCTGGCTTATATCTTACAATAGGCAAGCGGCTTTATATTACACTTTTACCACATGGCTGCAATGTACCCACACAGAACTGTAAAGCATTTTGAGGCTTTAAGAGATGCGCTATCTAAAACTACGTTCACGTTACATTTGCTACAGTTCGAGAGGCACAGTAAAAATGTTCGTTTTAGAAAAATGCGAAAACAAAGTGGAACCCCCCTTTGAAAAATCCTGGATCTGCCACTGTTTTTTTGGCAAGAACTGGGTATCATAACGGCACAACCGGAATAATTTAAATGATGTGATGTCAATCAAATGAAAGTAATTAATCGAGGTCGCAACAAAGGGRAAATGCACACATCTTAACTTTCGACAACTTTCTTCTATCAATGTTAAGCAAGTTACATAGCGGACAATTTTTTCCAGTGAACAAAGCTTCACCAAACAGAATGAAGGAAATTATTAGAAAACACTTTATATTAATTTGAGTTAATGCAAAACAAACAAACAAGCAAAAAAAAAMAAAAAACAAAACAAAACAAAAACAACGGCACAGCAAAAAGCAATGTAGTTTTGATATAAAGACTAAAAAACACCACATAAAATGAAGAATGGAAGAGTTCTCTCTTATCTATGTCAACCTCGTTCCCAGTCCCTCATCCCTTCCAAATTAGGCGGGTCTCTATTAAACCGCTGACATCTCTTACCTATTTCCTGTTCCGCGGTCAGGGCAAAATCGAAAGTAAAACTCTCTATATTCCATCGTTTTCACTGTTTGTTCTGATGCCGTCTTTACAAGCTGCATCAAATTAACTATGTTTCCATTGCCGATATTCTTCGCTCTAGGTTCTGGGTAATCGTAGATTCTACCAGGCATGACTAATCGTTTAGGAGGGACCCATGTTTTCTTATCAACAAATTCCACGGCCACTGTCCAGTCGAGATTTGGACTCGGTCCAGCGGTGACACGCAGGAAGACATCTTCCATGTCAGCCGTGTAGGTGAAATTACAGTAATGCCGACCAGTGAATTTTCCGGAAGCATAGTTTGAACAATAGACTTTAGAGCAGTCGGAAGAGCTGCAAACCTAAGAAAATAACATTGAATCGTTAGTCATTTAACAATAAGGAACCGAAGAATAATTATCAAAATATTGCACATGCAGTAGAACACAACTGCCCCACCCCTCTCCCCCATGTTTCTGGGAAACCYGACCCTAACCCGCGAAGCGTACCTCTAATTTTGCTATCAAACCAAGTGCTGGATTCCATCCGTGAGGTAGGTTAACACGGGCTAAAAGTGTTTTATTGTTGTAAAGCTTTCCATCGCAGACTGTCGCTCCATATAGGATTGCAGAGTCGGGGGATGGACGGTCTGGTCTTGGAGAAACGAACAGTACTGGTAGAAACGATACTGGTGTCTGTGCAGAACTTCTCATTACAGTCACTATATATGAATAAAGTAAAAAACGTGTTAAATAAAGATACAAAACTGAAAAATGAGAATTACGAGTTTAATCAATTCACATTGTTGAATGAAAATATATTTTTTAATATTTAAAAAGCATGATCGGTTAGTAGTTGATTCCGGCTGCACAGGTCACGCCAGCTATTTCAAGAACTGATATTAAAGCGCTGATTCGTCTCTCAGCCGAGGAAGCGAAGGTACTCTCATGAGTTCTTTATGATTTACACATACATTAAACAGCAGAAAAGAAGAAACTGTTAATTTGAATCGAAAAAAATAGCATTCGGTTGGTATAAAGGGGGCGTTGCCATTCATAGAATATGAGAGAATCGATCCAGTACTGGCATCAGTATTTACAATTCGTACTTTACGTATACGTAACCGGGTCTAGATCTTAAACGCAAGTATCTGGTCGTATCTTCGTACAATGTTATGCGACCTCTTGTGGTGTGAATTTTACAGATACAAGATCTAAGCTAGCTAAATTCAAATTGCAGACCCCCAGTAAATCATCAGAAAATATACACGTGTCAACTGAATAACTTACTCATTAATGCAAGGCAACACACGAGAAGCGCTTTGATCATCTCCATAATGATTTATCGTGGCTTTAGAACTGGTAGATCTCTCTTAACTCAGCGCTTCGCTTCAAAAGCCGGCTTCAAATACTAACACACTCGATAGGCTGCAGCTGAATGTCTCTCTGCGTGCGCTATTCATATATATATATATATATATATATAGGAATTCAAGCACTTTAGCAACCAATCAGATTGGTTGGATTATTACACATTTCCTAGAAATCCACGTGGTTGACAGATGGTTTGATAAGAATTCGAGGAACTATCAAYTGGTGACCTTTATACGGGCGTGTTGAAACACAACATACATATATTACTTACACGTCACATGTCTTCTCGACCTTTCTCGGAAGTCCTCATCCCCGGGAGCCCTTGACAATTCGAGGTAATCCAGTCTGTACCTCATTCTTCTCTTTCGGTGTTATTTCTAGTAGGCGAGGAACATGCAATACTGGTGCAGACTGAAATCCTAACATCAATAATGTTCTTAAAAGTAACTTAGCCTTTCAGTCTACAATAGCTCATTACTTCTTTGATTTGAGTCACCTTGTCTGAAAAAAAAGTCATGTGCTTATTCTAAGAAATATTTTTTGTTTATTTTTAGCGACAGTTCTGGGAACGTGATTCTTTGACATAATGATCGTTTGATTGCCGTTTCCCTCACTAGTGGTCTAAATTAACATAAAAGTGCTGAGGCCGCAAAGAATTCCTACAATGCATGAATCGCATGTGGGCTCCCTGTGCTTTCCCAAGAATCTTTTCTTCAGAAGTTGAAGACTGGACTCTAGTCAATTTCGTGCCAAAATACAAATGGCGCGTGGTTTGCTCCAAAGTTGCTTCTGAAGTATATCATCTGTTTTTCTATGATTTAATGAATCTCAACGAACTTTCTACAGAAATAGTAAACTTCAGAGCAAAAGGATCTAACTTGTAGTCTTTTGCAGGGTAAAAATGCTCGATATTTTCTTAATTTCGTGACTAGAGGAGGTGTGAAGATAGCATCTTTGAGTTCGGGAATCGCGCTACTAGAATTACTACTGTGGCAGTTTTGTAGATATTTGAGTGTGGATCGCGAATATCTGATATACAATGGATAAATAGGTCTTTTATTGAGGCAAAGATTGCTTGCAATGCGTCAGAAAATGAAAGATAAGCGACGACCGTGTGKTTTTTGAAGGACTACAAAAATGTCACCTTCCGAGGATAGCGACGATGAAGTCTCAGTTCCAGTGTCTAGAACGCGTAAATCGAAGATCAGAAGTTTGAATTCAGAAGATGAAGACAATGYCCCAACATTAAGGACATCGAGAAAGTCTTCTGCCAAGAAAGTCAGGATTGATAGTGACGAAAGCACCAATAAAACTCCTAAGAAGAATCTGAAAACTCCATCTACAAGAAGCTCTGACAGACTAAGAAAAAAGAAAGAATTTAAACTGCCGAGTAGAGATGAGGTTTTAGAGAATGTTTCACCAGGCATTGCCAAATCTTCGACTAAGAAGATGAGAGAACTTAAACCAAGGAGACTGGTCAATAACTTCATAAGAGAGTAAGTAAGCTTAATAAAAAAAGGATGAGAAAGCGGAAATGGAAACCTGCCGAAACTGGGCAACTACTGTATCACATCAAAATGCCCAAGATTTCAACTGCTCGCTATCGTTCTTATTATTCAACAACAAATTTGTCTGAAGCTGTGGGCTCATGCGCTGATAGTAGCCATCTGCAGAGGGCGCTATCGTGTCACATGGGCGACTCTCCACCAATGAGAGCATGAAAAATTTGTCGTTGAATTATAACAACTCGTAGTCCAATCAACCTCTTGGTCTAATTGTTAGATAATTAACATGGATGTCAGGTAGTACATAATTTGATATTCTTTACCTAAACAGATTATACCATCATCTGCAATCACAGCTCTAAAGTCCCTGGGCAAGTTGTAGCATTTGTATTGACAACAGTCTATTTTTTTATCCTACAGACGAAATTCCTAYGCCTCAGAAAAAGTTGGAGACATTTACCTAACTGATGACAGTTTCTCAGATTTTATTGATGATGGTGATGAAGATGAAGTTGATGAGCAGAGCAATTCAGATGATTCTCATTCATCAGGCAACAAAGCAACTAAGACAAGAAAGAGAAAGAAGCAACCATCATCATCATCATCATCATCAGGATCAAATAATGAAAGGCATTCTTCTAGGAAAAAAAAGACTTTAAAATCAAAGAAGAAAAGAACAAATAAAGTGAAAAAGAAAAGAAAAGCTATCACATCTAGTTCTGAGAATGAAACAAACAATGAAAAYGATAGYGACGAACCATTATCAGCRTATTTAGATAGAAAACGAAATAGAGAGAAGCAAGTTGMATCAAATGTTAGAAAAAGAAGAACATCAACAAGACGAAAAATATTTGATTCATCAGAAAGYAGYATTGATGAAGACAAACTGGATGAAACCRATTCCCCTGAGAAWCCATCCAACGCTCAACCAGTTCGCCGATCATCTCGACGTATGAAGCTTATAGAAAAAGAGCAAATAAGAAACCAGAAGTATGAAGTGATCAAAAAAGGAAGAAAAAAATCAAATKCCAACCAAAGTAATGATGCCAGTAACAAAGAAAAAATTAAATGTGATGATGATAAAAAAGAAGTTTTGCAAAATCTGATAGATCATTTCAGCAGTGATGAGAGTGACAAGAACTTTGTTGTATCTGATGCAGAGATTTCAGAGGAAGAACCAGAATCCGACTTTGAATACASCTTCTTGAAACTAAAAGACAGTCAAAGTCCTGATCCTCAAAGCACTGAAGGAGCTTTTGATTCATCACCAAGCAAAACCTCAATAAGAATGCGAAGAAAACAAAGAGACCAAACTTCAAAATGGAGACGAATCAACACCAAGGTAGAGTCAGATGAAATAGAAGACTCAGAGTCTAATGGCAATGAAGATTATGACCATGGCAACCAATTGCACCATGCTGTCAAGGACAATAACCTTGATTTGATTAAGCAGATTCTTCAAAAGGAACCTGGTTCAGTTCATGAGTTAGGGTACAGAAAGCGCTCACCTTTACACATAGCAGCTCTCAGTGGCAATGCAGAGGTTGTACAACTATTGCTTAAAAGCAAAGCAAACTGCAAGCTTCTTGACAAGTATGGTTTTCCTCCAATTGCATATGCTGCCAATGGTCACAGCGAAGCTTTGAAAGTGTTTCTAAAGAATACGGACATAAAGAAAGTACAGAAATTGCTTATTCAGACAGACAGCAAGATGAGTTTGCTTCACTTGGCCATTGGAGAATCGCGAACAGGAGAAGAGTGTCATGAAAGAGCACAATGCATGGAACTTCTGTTTGCACATGACAAAGAGACATGTCTTGATATGTTGTACCACAAGGATGCCAGAGGAAGGGTACCACTAGAGGCAGCTTTTTATGCATCTCAACATAAGGTAATAAGAAATTGGACTTATTTTTAATTTCAGCTTTGATAAGGTTTCAGTGAATTACATGTACACTCAACTTGCACATACAAACTTGCATTAAATATTCACATTTTTGTTATGCATTCCCTGTGGTGACCTGCATTAAACCAACTCCCAGATGTTAGTTTTTCAACTGAATAGTTATCAATAGCTACTGATATTGTAGTGTAAATTTCAACAAAGAATGGAAACAAAGTAAATAGCATAATTGATTTTAGAAATTTTACATGTTAGCTGTCTATTTGCACTCATATTTGTTATGAATAAACTTGTAAAATAAGCCAAAAAAAAAAATCATTTTCATCTACCTGATGTTGCAGTGTGTCCGTGTACTCTTGGAGAATGGTGCCAATCCACTGTCCTTTAGAACTGGGGAAGATGGAAACCTACTTCATTTTGCAGTTGAGTCGGCTGATCACTTTAAAAGGTTGTCAATAGAAGGAACAGACTCGTCTTTATGCCTAAGAGAAATCATTGAACATATGAAGCCACACCTGAATGATAAAGATTTAAATGGTGAATATTTATTCTCTTATTTCATTAATCCATTCCTTTCTCATCCATTTATTGTATTCATTTTGTTGTATTATCATGATATACATGTATGATGTCTATTCTTTTTACCTTTTGTGTTTCAGATTTCACTCCCTTGATGTATGCTTGTGAGAGTGGCAATGACGACTGTTTGTCTGTGCTTATTGATGCAGGTGCAACAGTCTTGACAAAAGTAAGTATGAATCTTTTTTTCAAGTTAATATGATAGTCATTTCAGTCAATCCACAGTAATATTTCAGTAAATACAGTAATTAAAGGATTATTAATCATGTAATGTGTAAAATAGAATTCTTCTTCAATTTTTCATACTTTGAAGGGAAGCAAACATTTGACTCATCATAGCAATAAAACTACAGAAAACAAACACTTCTGAAAAAAAACATTGATCTGTTTCTGTATTCTCCCTCAATTATTTCCAATTTGACAATAGAATTGTTCAGTTTACATTAACTATGGAAACTAGTTGTAATTGCTTGATTTGTTTTGCTAACTAAAAGTCTTTGTTTCTTGTTAAAGGATAAATATGAAACATCTCCACTTCATCTAGCAGCTCTAGCAGGCAGTACTGAATGTGTTCAACTGCTTCTTAGCAATGGCCATCCTGTTGACTGCGTTGACAAGTCTGGCTGGCCGCCTTTGTTATATGCAGATTTCAACGCAAAAGAGGAATGTGTTCTTGCTCTGATGAAACCCAAACCTAGACAATTGTTTATCTTGGGGAAATTATTAAAAAGACAAAGGACTGAAGAGGACAAAAAGAAGACTTTCAAGGTATTAAATTATAAGATATTACAAAGTCAAGGTTATCTATCATTCATGCTCCTGAGTGTGTAATTTAGATTACACACTCAATTAGATTTTATAATTATACAAGGATGATAACAATAATGGTAGAAAATGTTAAAAACAGCACCAAACATGCAAACAAATAGTTAATCAAAACAAAAAAAATAGCAGCAGCAACAACACTGTTTTAGTTGTCATTTTGTCCCCCTTTTGTGATTTCCTTACATGTAGTTATTTTTTTTACAATAGTCCACTTCGCGGATAATTCGAAATTTTACATTACGTCGTTATGGCAAATCATTGACATCACTGGTTTGAAAACAATCTGATTTAAATTCAAAGAGATACGGCACTTATTTTGCATAGAAATGTTTGGCGAGGTTGTAACAAGTCAAGGTCAACCTCGATCTCATGCCGACAGCCATACATTTCTTTGTAAATTTTGCCGACTTTTAAACGCTGTATCTCCTTGAATTTTCATCGAATCATGCTCAAACCTGGTAAGCATACTAATTTCATACTGTTCTTTCCAGTGGTGGTAATAGTTTTGCGATATTTGCTCAATTTCTAATAGCTGTGTTATCCGCGAAGTGGACTATTGACCATGATTTTACTTGTAGGTTGTCAAGGACCTGTTGATGTCGCTTGCTAATCACGATGCATACTACACTGTGTTCAATGACTTCATTCGTGTCAACCCAGAACTTCTTGATGAATACAACCATGGTCTTCTTCAGCACACATGGAGAGCCATCTTGGACTTCAACAACAAGCATGCATGGTTTAAACGGAAATTGTATGCATTGCCGTAAGTATTGTTATTAGATATGTGTACATAAAAAACTTTTTGACAGGAAAGAGAGATTGAAATTCAGTGTTGGCTTAATTATTCACTTTGATCTTGAAGGGGAACTTCTTGCTGGAACTCATCTTGTAGCCTGGTTGTTAAAAGAAGTGATGTCCTTGGTAGTACCATGCAGCAAATCGGTCAAGTTCCTGGAAATAAGTTGAGATCAGATAGCTTCCATGTTACATTTGAGAATGAACCAGGTACTTTCTACTTGTAATGGCCGTTTGATGTCATTATGTTCATTTTAATCATTGGAAAGACAAGTTCAGTCTTTTATCATGCTTTGATGGGCTTGCAGAGATGTATGAGAAGTTTTCTTGTGGTGATTGATTTACGATAAATGTCATTGTTTCACAAGGTATCTGCACTGGTCCCAAAAGAGAATTCTTTATCTGCTTTTGTAAAGATGCTGTTAGTTCAAGTCGTGGTTTATTTGCCGAAACAGATGATTGTCAGTACAGGTAATGTTTTAACATAAATGTAGACTTTACTGAGAATACATCAGCCTGAGCACTGGTAGCTTAAAATCAAAATCATTAGAACTCTGGTCTACATTCTAAAGTAATCTTACTGTTTTTATTAATTATACTCTGTTCTAGTCCCATTCCAAATACATATTTTTCAAAATTCATCCCTGATGCTTCCCAAGTCAAATCATCTCCTTGTAAAGAGATACAACAAGAGAGGAAAGAGGAGCAAAACAATGAAGACATCTCCATTGAAGACTGTACAGATTCTGAGCTACTTGCTATTGATATTGAAGCAACAACTGAATTGGCTGCCGCAAATAATATTAATTCTACTGATGGTGTGACCAGCAATGCCACAGCTGGTGTGAATGATAGTCAGGTTAATCTTGATGGTACTACTGGTGATATTGCTACTGATAATGAGCTATTACCTGGTAATGGTGTGATCGGTGATGATGCCACTGGTGATGTTACTGGTGATAGTAATGACATTACAGATAGTGGTATAACTGCTGATGGCATGACTGCTGATGGCGTGAACAGTGATTGCGTGACTGCTGATGGGATAACTATAGATGATGTTACTGATGTTCGCGTTACTGTTGATGACATTTCTGATAGTGGAATAACAACCGAAGGCATAGTTATTGATGGCGTGACTAGTAGTGACATGACTGCTGATGGCGTGACTAGTAGTGACATGACTGCTAATGGCGTAACTAGTAGTGACATGACTGCTAATGGTGTGACTAGAAGTAACATGACTGCTGATGGCGTGACTAGTAATGACATGACTGCTGATGGCGTGACTAGTAGTGACATGACTGCTGATGGCGTGACTAGTAGTGACATGACTGTTGATGCCATGACTAGTAGTGACATGACTGCTGATGGCGTGACTAGTGATGACATAGCTGCTGGTGAAGCAAGTCTTAGTGATATGTCTAGTCAAGAAACTTCTTCAGGACAGCAAACCTCAAGCTCTGGTAGCACACCATACAGTGAAGAATCAATATCTGAAAACAGCAACCAGAATAGCCAAGAGACAAATCAAGATACATGGATTTCAGTCGTAAGCAATATACATTTAATTACTAACATAAACACCATTGTTAATGTACTTTCCTCTGAGTTAAAAAGCTAGGTTTGTCTTTCAGAATATTATTCAACATTTAGGCTTAATGTTTATAACATAGTTATGCCATTTCATTGAACATATATATTTGTGGTTGGGAGCTAAATGAAGAGTGAAGAGTAGGGCTGGAATTATTTTTGCTTCATGCAGAAAGTTGAAAGGCAAACAAACCACTTGTTCAAGATTATGCAAAAATCACAATTGTGTATAACACAATAAAATGTTTTTTTCCCGATACTCTGTAGAAGACATGACAAAATGTGACCATCTTTTACAGGGAAAGCAAAATGTGGTAATACCAAGTATTTCCCTTCGATCCAAGATGAAACAACTCCGTTTGATTGGCCGCCTTGTTGGATCAGCTATATGTCAAGGAATGCATCTGAACTTTCATCTCTCAAAGCCATTCATTAAACAGGTACATATATAATGTATGCATGTACTAATTATGTTAGTCTAGACGAATGACGTCAAATGTGTTTTGGCGAAGTGCATCATGGTATTGATGGAAGAATAAAGATGGTGGTTTTATGGTGAATACTACGCATGGCAAAGTTTCTTGGAGAAAATGATCACTGTAGAAGGTCGACAATCATTTAGAATTCTGAGCATCAAAATTGATTGAGTCTGACTTTTGCATACTAGTGTTTTTTTAMGTAATACTTGTTCTTTGAAAAACACTCTGAAATACCAGAAGCACAGACGAAAAAACAGCAATATGGTTTTGTTTTTATTTTCGTCAATCCCATGGCGCATTTCGCTTACCTTACGCCATTTAAGACTAAAAGATAATTATAACTAGACATACTGTAGTGTAAAATGATTTCTCGAAGTCGTCAAGCGAAACAGTTAAGATAAAATAATAGGTAATACACTATGAATTGTTATATTTTGTCCTCTACTTTAACTTAAGATTCTTGGGATCCCTTTGTCACACCCTGATGACCTGGCCTCATTTGATCACCAACTGCATAAGAACATGGTGGTCTGGGTCCAAGAGAACAGTGTCGATGACCTTGACCTTCCATTCAGCATAGAAACGATGAATCCCTGGACAGGCAAACTTGTGACTGTTAACCTGACTGATGATGAACAGAAGACTTTGGATGATTCAAATAAGGTGATAGCATTTTATCTGATCATGTAATTGCATGTAATAAAATATGTTTTTTTTAATGGATTACGTACCTGAACTTTATTTGTTTTACGTTTTTAAAGGACGGGTATGTCAAGTTAGTTTCACAATTCAAGTTAGAAACATTCATAAGGAAAGAACTTGAGGAGTTTAAATTGGGAGTGAATGAGGTGAGTTGATTCAGAATATTATGACGTCATGTTGTGTTCAACAAGTTGCACTGTGGGATTGAAGAAAGTTCAAACTGAAGCCATGCTATTTCACAAGATCTTTAGTTAGTATCTCATGTTTTTTTTAATCATCAGATACTTGCAACTCTGTTTTAATATCAGACGTTTGTCCTCATGCAATATGATTTTCATCTGTTGCTGCACATTCCAATTCACATTTTTCATTTTTTTTCATTTTTCAGGTAATCCCAAGTGATTTGTTGAAATTCTTCACTGCTGATGAGTTTTCTCTTCTAATGAATGGCGTCACAAAGATAGATGTAGAAGATTGGCGCAAGAATACAAACGTAAGTAATAACTATTGCACTAATTAAACTATAACAAGACCGCAAAATCTCATTCCTACACAATGACTTATTTAGAACTACAAAGGCTCTTTTGTTTCTTTCATTTAATAGCATGACGGTTTTGAGCAATTCCCGTATATCATCGAATGGTTTTGGAATATCGTGTCTAAGCTCAAGGAAGACGAGAAAGCTTTGCTTTTGCAGTTTTCAACTGGTTCGCCTTGTGTTCCTTTGGGTGGTTTTGCTAATTTAAAGGTACATGCAAATCTTTTGGTAAATTGGTTATCGTAATTATGTGTTTATTAGTTCGTTATGTTATTCTGTTGTGACAAGCTACAAAAACGTCGTAGATTATACCTGATTTATCTCTTCAGGGGTTATCAAGCGGTTTCAAAATTAGTAAACACTTAGGAATGAACAAGGTATTATTATTATTATCAACTTAAACTACTCCTGTTGTATGCATGCTTATTTATGGTAGCCTAAGCAAGGGACTGGGGAGGGGCGATGGAGAGAAAGCCTCCCAATCCTCTTCGGGCCTCTACTTTGGCTATTATAATGAAGACAAACCCTGTCAAATCGACGATTGTAGCGTGCAATGCACCTTGACTGTTTATCCTTTCCTAAGCATTCTTTGCTATATTCTTGAGTTTGCGTCTTTCTACTAATATTAGCCTTGGCGAGGTGCATTATGGGTATTGGTAAAAGTACCAAGATGGCGGATATCTAAAACGACTACTGTCAAGAAACGAATTTTCTTTGCGAAATTAACATTTTAATGTAAAAAAAAAATGCTTAAAAGCGTTTTCGAGGATGCTTTAAATAAGATTACTGCACACTAGAGTATGCACAGAAAGACCCTTGGAAATACGTTATTCTTGTTGCTCGCAAAGCAGCCTGAAACATGACATTAATATTGCTTCAGTTCGTACCTTCACCAATCCCATAGTGCATCTCGGCAAACATTGCGTCATAAGGAGAAAGGTTCACTTTAGGTTGAATTGTTTCAGATTCCTCATGCTGCGACCTGTTTCAACCTACTGCAGTTATCAGACTATGACAGCGAGAAAGAATTACGGGAAAAGTTACTCATCGCCATTAGACATGGCTCTGAAGGATTTTCATTCTCATAAACAAGACTGTCTGTTAGAGAATGATTGTGGTTTGAGGGTACTCAGCAGATAAGCAGGATAAACTTGCTGAACACTGCCGGAAACTCGCACATTTCGACTTTTGAACGAGCTGCTAACGAACAATCTACGAAGTTCGTCCGAACACTATCGTAACCTGGTTTTCTTTCCGATTCGTATCGAACTGTCAACGAACTGCGCCCGAACACTGCCGAATATTTTACGAAATATTCTTTGTCCTGACAGCGAGTTTTCAGCCGAGTTAAAATCGAAATTTATAATGAATGAAGACAAAATATCGCTTTTTCGTTGATGGGGCTGAGTTCTCCTGACTGAGAATGTAAAAATTATCATTTTTCTTTTTAGTATTTTTTTTATTGATTATTGTTGTATTGATTGTCAATCAAAATGGGTTATCATTTCACATCAAGATAAATTGAGCTTGTTAGTCAACTAGATATTTTTAAAATTAGCATGATTTTTAAATGGTTAAAGTTATTTTTCAAAGTTAAAATGAACAAGTAAATCAAATATTAGAATTATTCTTGACCTGACATCGTCTAACTGAAATGTTTGTATAAAAAATGACACATTGTTATTGAAATAATGAATTTATACTAGTAACCAGACTGACTTCTCTGTATTTTTATACTTATAGGTTCACGGTTATAGTTAGATAAATTTGAAAATAGATTTATTGAAATATTTCGTAATATATATTAAAGATTTTGATTTTGATTTGTTATCAAGATTTCTGAACAGATTCCTAAATAAATCGAGAAATTCATAAAATTGCGAATATATGACGATCAGAAATATTCCAGGAAAGCTTTGAATTGTTAAGCCAATCAAAGGCTAATCACGTGAGAAATGAGGTCTCTCTGATTGGATAAAAATAATTCTATAAATAGATCAGACTCATCACAATTTGGGCAACATGAGTGCAATTTTTTTTGCTTTCGTTGAAAAGGCTGAACAAGTGTCAAAGCTGCATCACAAAATAAAACGCAAAAACCGTAAAAACAGTTTTATCATTAGCCGTTTTACAAGCTGAAAATCAGGAATTTCACTTCCTTCATCGAGGTTTTGTTTGTGGACGTCTGGAAATTTGACGGCGCTGTGTTTTATGGGAGATAGTAGCATGTCCTTTTTAGTGGAACTCAYTGTTTTGCGTGCTCAAGGGAAAYGAYCATTAGGTGACAAACGATCAACGTGATATAGACATAATCACGTGACTTGGTAGAATACGTCACGTGATACTGAACCTTTTTGAAGAGAAGTTTCATATTTGCAAGGTAAGGTCACACGAAGATATAGGTGTTATTTTCCATTAACTTTCTTTCTCTTTATTTATTTTTTCCTTTTCTCTCTGTAGATCAGGGAATTGAAAAGAAGCGCCTGAAAAAAGTGTAACGAAGGTAAGTTATGATAATGAAGTCACATATTTGTAAGGTACAATCACACGAAGATATAGTTGCTATTTTAAATTAACTTTSTTTCCCTTTATTATTTTTTCCTTTTCTTCTGTAGCTCAGGGAATTGAAAAGAAGCGCCAGAAAAAAAGTGTAACGACGGTAAGTGATGACAATTATTTCTTATAATAGTGAATTTGGTCGAAAATGGAAAACTTATACTGGAAAAGATCGCGCGCTTTAAAGGTTGTAAATTTGATGTGAATATGATGTAAGTGTCCAAAACTCTGTAAATTTAATGGAAATCATTACATCAAATTTACAAAAGTTTGGACACTTACAACATCATATTTRCATCAAATTTAAAACCTTTAAAGCGCGCGATTTTTTCCAGTGTTATGGTATCTTCACGAGAGGAAACAATTCATAAGTTCATAAAATAAATCAGATTAAATCATCTAACTAATTGCCAATGGAATGATCTCGAAAAAAGTCAGACAGTTTATATAACATATGTTCTATATTGGAGAGACCTTGCTAATTCAGCATTGCAAAAAGATTTTGTTATGGATGACTAGCTATTTGTTTTGGAAGAGTTCCTGTTTAAATTGGTCCAACATTTTACTAATCGTTTTATTGTATTTTTTTTCTCTATTTGACTATTATGTACACTATTGTCGTYAAAGTCGGGTTTGATTTCACATCAATGTCTTTCTATATTTGACTTGTTTTTTTCTCTGATATTTTCAATGATATCTTCACAAGTCCAATTGTCGGAATCGTAGTTATTTGTATTCGGGGGTGTTTATAARCTCGACTTTTTTAATTAGAAAGTTGAAAATTGAAATTGAAGTTTTAGATATTGTGGCGCTTATAAGTCACTTTATTACCATAGCAACACAGGCCGTCATGTTACTATGGAGACAATCGTATTCCACATTTCTTATTGCTATGCTCTTTCTACTACTGAATTTTCTTAACATGAGATCGKTTTGTGAGTAGTGTTTATATTTTGGAAGAGTTTTGCATCGTTTCGTGTGTAGTTAATCAGTATTTCTTGTAATGTATTTGCCATCTAGTTTGTGGGCTGTCAGTTTGTCAGGGAAATCATTTACAGATGCATTCAAACCTGACAGTTTTCTCCACGGATTTATAATTGCTKTCAGCGAATGTGATGAACAAATTGTGAAACTTTGGATGCAGCTTTTTCAAAAAGGTTGACTGGTATAATTCACGACAAAAAACAGGTTACTGCGTCAATTTACACTCGCCAGGAATCGGAGTCGCTCCAAAAGTCTCGAGGAACTACGAGTTGTATTAGCAAGCCAAGTAAATATTTCCAGAGTTCCTACCATGAAGTAACTTGTAGCTCTGATTTTCATTAGAKCTGCTGTTGGCCAGTCACAGTAATGAATCTATTTTAGCCAATCAAAGAAGTGAATCTATCTRTACCAATCTATCTTAGCCAATCAAAGTAGTGAATCTATACCAACCTATTTCAGCCAATCAAAGTAGTGTATTTATACCAATCTATTTTAGCCAATCAAAGAAGTGAATCTATCTATACCAATCTATCTTCGCCAATCAAAGTAGTGAATCTATACCAACATATTTTAACCAATCAAAGTAGTGAATCTATCATGTCTATACCAAGAAAATAAATGCAAAGTCAACTCATTTTACACCGGAAAACTTTATTTGCTGCCGTAATTGTCCTCAAGAACTAAAATCAACATCCACAACCTTACAAAACACTTTTTCTTTACTGTGAAATAGTCCTATGATCCCGGCRGCATTAATGTGCATGACCAAAATTTGACAACTTTGCACAGAGGAAAACCAAATTTCCTGTTCTCTTTTTAAAGTCATCTTTCTCTATAAATATCCTTCTTAGGGGGTAAGTATTATGTCTATATTTAGTAACTATACTTGCTTACTCGTTATAGATACGATATTTCGGTTAAAAAAGCCTAAAACCTTTCAATATCTCCAACGCAAACTTCGAACTTAGCTGTGCAGAATTTTTTCASAAAYTAAATTTCGRCAGCAAAGAAATATAACTGCTCTATATAAAGGCTTAGTGTCCGGTAACTTGAAAATAGTTATAATTATTGTTAGTTATGTTACTAGCAACATTTGAGTTGAGCAAAAAGTCCACAACTAATTGACTTGTTTAGAAGTCGAGATAATCTTAATATTCCAAATTTTTCCCAGTTATTCACTTCCTCAGGGCTAACCTACCATTATGTAAAACASTTCTAAATGCAAACATAAACGAACGTTTTCAATGTTTGAAAAAAATAAAGGAAACAAAAAAATAAATAAACATGTTAAACCTGAATTTTGAGATTCTAAATTTATAAAGCGTTGGCGTTCCTAAAGACTATATTCATCYTTTTCAGACTACCAATATTTAGATCTTTAAATACTGAACTCTTATAATTTTAGAAGTCGCTGAACATTGTCAAATATTAACTCAATATCAACTTTTTTAGAGGGTTATTATCAGGAAGTTTACCATGYACTTTGAAATGTTCGCCCGGTGTGTCATGTCGATATTTGATTAAGTCAATAATAAAAATAATAATGTTCTTTTTTTTAGGGAATGAAGGGAGATATTTAGCARTCATTTCGGTTGAGTGTTCAATAGTTTATCATGGCTCAGTCATTATCGTCTACACAATATGGAGAAGAATAATTTAGTGTTTTACTGCATTTATTACAAATAACATTTGAACAAAATGAAATTATACGTTTATTCTGAAACTCCCTCTATTAAGTCGCCATTTCGKTTTTCTCTTCWCTTAGTAGTTCGTAGTCAGTCATTGCGCGCGWCTCAAAGACGAAKCTTTCACTGGAAAAAATTGTGCGCTTTAAAKGTTGTAAATTTGATGTAAATATCATTTAAGTGTCCAAAATTCTGTAAATTTAATGGAAATCATTTACATCAAATTTACAGAATTTTGGACAYTTAYATCATATTTACATCAAATTTACAACCTTTTAAGCGCGCGATTTTTTCCAGTGTTTAATTAAACTATAACTATAAATGTGCAACTTTATGTATTATAAACTATATAGAATATGCTAAGGACACGCATTTATCTACTTTCTTGGAAATGTTTTTTTTAGTAACTTGTGCAATCCATAGCGGCTTCTTTCAAGGAATCTTTAAAAAAATGATAAGATTTAAAACTGCTGTACTATCTTGTCATGTACATGATTTGAAACSAAACGTTGTTTAGTTAAAGATATAGCGTTCCTTTGGTAACGTGCATCACGTGACCATTTCAGTGCCTGTTCTAATAGCAGTCACATCAAACACATCGTATCTCTGCATTGCATGATTTGGTTTATTTTTAATTTGTATCTCACATTTAAAGAAACTTTGCTGGAGGACGTGGTTCATAATGACGTCATTCATGTATGTGAGGTAACTTTGCTGTCATATTTGATTTATCCTAATACAGAGAAAAAAACTCATCTTTATTGAGTACGTGACGTGATGAGCATTCGCGCACGTTCTGTTACCGGGTTTGGCCTTTAAAACTAAAGATGAAAGATAATAATTTCAAAACTTACTTAAAAAAAACAGTCTTCATATGCTATAGTTCCCGGGTTTGGCTTTTAAAACTAAAGATGAAAGATAATATTTTCAGAACTTATTTTTTTTAAAAAAGACGATCTTCTTTTGCTATAGTTCCATTTTGTCGTTTGCATTCAAAACTGAAATATTTATATTTAGATTGGCAAATTATTTTCAATCTGTATCATTCAGATTTGCAGCTGAAATATCTTCATTGATTCTTTCATTTATACATTTTTTTTATTAGTTTATGCAGTCATTCAACACTCATGTGATCTTTTATTTATCTTTATAATTCTATCTGTCTTCGTGTTCGTTCTAGTGAGCGTTTTTTACTCACTTGTTCCCTTTGCAATTTCCAGACAATTTTCTTATTTCGTTGTCTCTGAAGGATTTCAATATACCACTCATTTAATATTCCAGCCTTCAACCTTCTTTCGTCAAACAAAAACTCTCAACAAGTGCACACTCTTGACGGCTAATGTTAAATACAAAGACATCAAAGCAATGAATCATCCTCTTTTGAACTTTTCAACAGCGTTTAAGTGTGTTATTGCAACAAAATCCAATCGTCACAGTCATTACTTTCAAGTTTTCCGCCACTAGTGGTTCCTTTTGCAGCGATTTACAGACCACTGAACAATGAATGCTCTACAATCTTTATCGTTTCTTACGCATGTACGACTCTCTTCAATAACGAAATGATGAAAACACTTAGTTACTGAGAAACGCTTGATGGCCATCTCTTAGAGTTGTCATCGACATCTCTTCTATTTTTATCGCGTTTCATGAAGGATTTGGGCAGTTTCCCTGCTCCCCTTGGGAACAGCACCTGTAGGTCGACGGACTACACTTTTAAAACGCTCTATTTAAATTATTGTTATTTGTCAAAGAGTGGGTTTAAAATCTTAATCAAATAAATTGGGGCTTCTAGTAAGAGAAGGTAAGTTCTTAAACGCGTTTTTCATGTTTTTTTTTCTATGAAGACATGAATGTTTGTAAAGTGGAAGCGTCTGTACCTCTCAGCAGTGAGTCGAAAATCATTATGTCACTTTTAAGTAATTTACTTTAATCTTTTTGAAAGTAATTTACTTCTAACGTTGAAATGTTTTTTAAGCGACTCTTCGTCTTATAGAAAAGCGAAAAGTTGGCCACCAACAAAAGACAAACGCCCTATTGTAGCTTAGAAGAGGAAAAAGCAATTCCCGCGCTRAAATAMAAGTAAGTCCAGAGTTTTAGAACATACTTGCTTCTTCTGGTTAATAAGTAATACCTTTTATTTGCTTAATGAATGAGCATTTACCTTACTTGTAATTAGAAAATGTAGTAAGTTAATATGCCAAAGTGTTTCTTGTAAGAAAACGGGTACTTTGCAAAATGAGTTATTTGCCATGGTAATTTGTGCCGTTTGTCGTTTCTAGGTCCCCATTTTTTTCTCTGATAAGATTATCTTGAACTTGTAATGCTAATTCTTCCATTCATCTTTCCTTAYATTCATTTATTTAGTCATTCACTATTCATTTGAATTGATGTAATTTTTTTTTGACTTTTCACTTGATATTTTGTAGTGCTGTTGAAAAAACTTCATTTTCATAAACTTTCAATGGTGGTTTTCAAATTGTCAAGGACATCTCCAAAGTCATTTTAATCTCGTGACTTTATTTTTACAAGAACTTCTATCAAACGGACACTTGTTTGTCGTTGCAATTGTTTGGAGTTTTATMGTGTTAGGTAGACTTAAGGACCATTCTTTTGAAGYCTTTTGTAAGCTAGACAAGATGAAGGGCTCACTCGTAGCACAATCTCTAGGATGATGTTTGTTTTCTTTGGTTCAGTTTGAAGCCAYGGACTGACATATTGAAGGAGTTGCTTGGAATTTTTGGATGATTAATGTCTTGAAAAAAGGACAGTTAGATATGAATATAGATAATTCAATATTAACAAATTCAAATAAATCAATAAATAATAAAACGAATTAGCGAACGAAGGAATAAATTAAGAATAAATAAATGAATCAGAAGGAATTAATGAATGACAGAAGAACAKCAATCAAAAAATAATAAAAAGTTTGAATAAATGAGAAAAACAATAATGGAACGACGAATAGACAAAAAATAAAAAATAAAGTAAATAAAATAAATAAAGTAAAATTTTGTCAGAAAGTCCTGATTATTGGATTTGGAGACATTGAGGTGGTGTGTGTTAAACTTGCTAAAACAMTAAGCAAGTGCTGGCGTTGTTTAATTTCATTTTCCCTTAATTATTGCATCAAAAATCTCCTTACTTTCAYAATTAACTATCAAACTGACATTTTCCCTCTAGTCCTTGAAGACAATTGTACCAGACGAGAGACGTTTGAACGTTGAACTGCGCAGACATCGGTTCGGTGTTACTTCTAGCTTGAAGGTAAAAAAACATTTTGTTGTATAGTACGATGATTTTGAGCTTATTCAAAAATGCCCTGAAAAAAGACTATTATTTCTTTTTATTTTTTACTATTTAATCGTATGAGGAAGTGGCTGATCCCATTAAAGAGTGCTCAATACACATAAAGTGTAGAGCTAGTTATATATATGATATCAAAGWGGCAAGATTTTGCTGTAACTCCGAGTTTCGTGCTACGCACTCAAATACTGTCTGATGAGTGCGTAGCACGAAACTCGGAGTTACAGCAAAMTCTTGCCTCTTTGATTTCATATATATTTTTTACTATTTACGTATGAGTTTAACGGAATCAAAGACACATGRCGCGGGTAGCGACTATAAGTTTCATGTTGTTACACAATCATCAGGCTACCTTTTTTACTATTTATATATATTGTAGAGCATATAGCGCAGACAGGTGAGGTGGAGATACCGTCTAGAGTGGACTGGGCCACAGTAAATTTTCTTTGATAAGGAAATTTGATTTTCGCAGTGAAACAATAATTGAATCTAAGCTATTATTAATAATTATTTTTAATTAATGGGAATCGAACCCATGACCTCTGCGATGTCGGTGCAATGCTCTGCCAACTGAGCTATACATGAATCTATCTATGTTTGAGAGCGGTCACTAAACTTTCTCTGACTTTGTATAAACAATCGCTCGAAAAAATATTGCAAACGAATTGCGAGCGATGAAGAAAAGTGTGGTCAAACTTTTGGCAAAAGTAGATGCGTTAAGGGAAGGAAGGAACAGCTGTTGTGAGTTCTTAATTTCCTAATTATACTGATCTTTGTCGTAATGCTTAGAGCAACATACAGTCCTCTAGACATCTTAATCTTTCGAAAGAAAATGCAAAATTGGACGGTTGAATTTAAAAACAAATTCGCAAAAAAGAAAGAAAAGTGGAAAACAAAATAAACCAGTGAATTTGGAAGAATTTTAGAAGGTTTATTTATGAAAATAAACTGCCATGACTGATCGAACGACAKGCTAAAATTGTATGCCATCTTATAATTAAGGATTTAGATAAAAACAACATCGTTCAAAGTACTTCAGATGTTGAGGTTTRCATGACTGAAATCATGAATCTTGCGGAAAACTAGACGTTTTCGTCATTACAACTCCACGCCTACTATTTTCCGATTGGAGCTCTTTCCGGAGCTCTTAAACCGTCTAATAAAAAACATATGCAAGAAGCAATTCTGTTTTACAATACTCRTGATAATAAAGCCTCTAAAAATAGAGAAAGAAGCTCTTAAACTGCTTTATTCGTCTGTAATTTTGATCTTTTCAATTCCATAACGAAATGCTTCGTTTTAAGGGTGTAATAGAAGACACCCTAAGGGATCAATTCTCTTTCCTTCTCGCTATTTTATTGTTTTGAATTCTATTTTAATTTTTGCTGTTTTGCACAAACATATCGTCTTAATCAAATGCACGAGCGATATAAAAGAAAAAGCTAAAACGAAAAACAACAACAAACAAACAAAAGAAGAAAATCGTGAATGATTTTCATTGCAATAGCAAAAGGAAAAAATTGAATCATGGATCATTGTTCTAAGCTGTCAGCGGTTTGTTTGCTGTGACGTCACTGAGCCCTGTAAAATAATTTCTGTTTGAATTATGGAAATATTAGTACGAATTTGATCGCTTAACACTTTCTGCTAAAAAAGAAAAAAGAAAAAGAGAGAGAAAGAAAAAATGGATGCAAAACAAAACAATAAAAAGCAAACAAATAAAAATTGAAATTTAGAATATTTGTTAGTGTTATTTTGGCGATATTTATCTTGTAATTATCCAATCTAGTCAATCAAATTAATATTGTGTATTCTAGAGCAGGTAACCGCAAGATAGTCCCYTCTTGTGCAAACATTTRATATYACCATAACAAGTCGYCCCAAATTTMAATTTTAARAATTCTTTCTTAAASWACGMTACAAATTTGGTAAAGATACAACGGCAAAATGGGATRAATTATTAACTMAATAATCCTAACTTTACTGMCGGRATTGAACAAATTAAAAATGAAAAATTAATGAAGGTATAATTTAAGAAGCGATTTGAAAAGATTTTTTTTCCATTATGAAACAATTACACCTGATTCATTACAATTTATTTTATTTCTTTATTTCATTAAGAATATTCTAAACGACCTCTTGTTTATATTCTTTATACAYATAATGACACTTTGACATTTTTAAAAGACATTTGATTACACAATTGCTCACACGATAAATGAATCCGTTTTTTATTAGTAATTTTATCCACTAGAACTCTCGTCAACTGTCGCGTCTTTCGTCAGTTATTTTTGTGTACACATTTCAGTAAATTACGCGCTTAGATATAGTAATCTCTGAGAACGTCAACCAAAAATCTCCACTCATCTCGCTTCTGTCCCATATTCAATTGGCAATTCTGTTTAAATTATACCCTTATGTCAACAAGCCGGGGAGAAATATATAAACTTCTCACCTTATGGTGTATTCAGAACCGCTACTCAAGATGGTTTACCAAGTTCGTTGGTGGGGAACCTTSTTCGTATTGGTTTCTTGCGTGGAGTTCATAGCATTGGCAAGAAGCATTTCTGTATTCAACAATCAAGGAGTCATCAAAAAGGCACGATGTATTGCCAACTGTCTTACGATGGTGAGTTGGAATTTCTTCTCGTGTTTTTGCAGCATTCGACTTGATTCATTCTCAATTTGATTCACATGTAGGTTAAGGCCGAGTTTACTTGCCCTGTGTAAGGAAGACYGAGGATATTTTCCCAATTCGAGCGTTTTCAAAACTTTAGCACCGCCTTTAGTATGGATTGTTAATTCATWGTGTCTGACATTAAAATTTTGCGTATAGTTTTTATTAAAACAACTATAAAACTCTGCACTCGATGTTCACGACAATTAAAAATGACATTCCCAATACAAGTATCAAAGACAAAGGTTTCCAAAGTTTGAATATAATAATTGAATTTGTATTGTATGACKTGAAGTAGCTTAAACGGTCCTGYGTCGACAAAATGTTTCGCCGRCAATAAGATGAAGCGCTGYTCACTTGAGCTTTTGTAGTTATTRAATCTTATTCAGCTTTTTATTCCATCCGTTGATACATTGTCGTATTCATTAAGTTGATCCCCCATAGGACATTAATTTATTTTCCTCTCCCATGCCTGTGGTATAGTTTTTCTATAGTTCGCCGCAGTCTCTCTGTAAATATTTGGTCAAAATCCTGACGCAACTGTTATWTTTATCGATTTTATGAAGAAAAAGTGTCAAAGTGTTGYCGAGGTTCTAGAACCATCGATCGATATGTGTGTTTATTCGAGAACTAACAATCTGTTATGCCAATTTTATGAGAACATTAGTTAAAGAAAAAAAAAGGACGAAGAAATAAATCATGAAGGTCATCAGGTGAAAGGTGAAACACAGCGATAAAGTAAAGAAAATGAGAGAAAGAGAAAAAAGGAAAATCTTGAATGATAGACTGCAAAAGAAAAAAAAAATCTCAATGTAATTAGAAGTAAAACTTATCTGAATCCAATCACACCCACCTGCTATGAAATAACATTACCACGGATTTAATAACTTTCATTTTCAGATTTCCAATGCCGGTTCGCCTGATCCTGGTTGTCATGGTACCAACTGTAGTCAAGTGAGTCATTGTCRGTGTTTCTGTCCAATATTTCTGTAAGACTGACAGCTGTCTGTCTCTTTCAGTGCGTCAATGCATGTGATATGATATCCAAGACTCTAGATGATTGCAAAGCATCTTGTGTGAGTAGCGTTGTATTTTATATAAACAATATATTTAATCGATTGAGTTTATTTATTTATTTATTATTCGTGAATAAAGAGTTGTCGCAAATCGTGGCACGCTTTTCTTTAGAAGTTTTCCACTTCAATAAGTATTTGTCAAAAAAGCACAGAATCGGACACCGTTGAGTTTTCAGTTTCCAATTAAAGATCTAGTTAATTTTAGACYTCTCTCCCTCTTTAAGCACATAGAATTAGATTTTGCCCCCCCCCCCCCCCCATCTTGTATCTCAATCACCCTGATAAATATTGCGCAGTAGATAGATACCATTTCATATTACTTCAATAAGAAAAAAGGTTTCTATCATTGCACGCTGAACGGATTGTCTGTCTTCGATGCAAAAACACGGCTGCCTTCCAAAGATTGCGCAGGGAAACGTGAAGGAGACGATTCTGSAATACTTAGCTAACTATTATGTCTTCATCTAGGCTAACTCGACGTGGTGTAACACAAGTTGCCAATACATTCAAACCACCGTCAAGAACTGGAAAGACATTTACAATGGAGGCGGGACTTCCATTCCAAAACCAGCTACTCCCATAGCAACAGTCAGGAATGTGACGTCATTAACGTTGTCGTGGAAACCTGGCATTKTAAACGTTAGCGGCAGTGTGGTTTATTTGCTGAAGAAGAAATACGAGCAAAAAAGCGATAAACGCACCGATGAACTGACGGTATGTGATGTCTGTCGGTTTTTACTTTAAACGACTATGCGGCTTTTAAAAGTTGTGACGTCATAGCAAAAGCAAACTAGTTCCCAGGCTACCAGAGTTTTTCGCCTCTTTTCAGTCGAAAAAATGCATTTTAAGGCCGACTTTTCCCTGTAGATTAACTATTGAACGCATAGCAATCAACGGTTTTCAAATTTACGATTTTCTATTTCCAACATTTTAGAGCATTAATAATTTTTGAGGCATAGATACAATCCGAGAAGTCATTTGGATCAATCCCAATGGAGGATAGTTTTCAAAGAACTTGAAGAGATGTTGTTGCTCCCCAAGTTTTATGAAATTTCTTTTTTTATAATCATTYCATATAACTAAGTCCATATAACTAAGTGCTCAATAGCCTCCTTCGCACGGTACTCAAACTGAAGCGAACTTTCCGASAAGAATTGGTGTCAAGTAATAGTCTTCTTCACGGTTACCAGCGCCATCTTGAAAGGTAGCCATGCCTTTACATCGAAGYRAGACAACCGTTGAGCGTGCAATGATAGATACCTGTGAATAATTGTCTGTAGGTGTGAAARAAGGTTTCTATCATTGCACGCTCAACAGTCGTCTCGCTTCGATGCAAAGGCACGGCTACCTTTCAAGATGGCGCAGGTAACCGTGAAGRAGACTATTAGCGACAARCACGGATTTATTTCCTTTGTTACCCCCTACCCCTCCGGCAGTTTTTTGACCCTAACACAGGAATCCCGCGAAGTGGAGYTGCCTGTTAAAGAGGCTCAGTGCACAAATTATTTTGTTGTTTTATTTAAGGTGGTATTCACCGAGCCAAAGGCAGTCATAACAGTTCAAGATGTCTGTAGAAACGTTATAAACAGTAAATGGTACCATGAGCTGCATTTCTACTTTACTGTTGTTGCCCTGACAGAAAATAGTACGCTAGTATCTGGGGATATATCAAAGCCTATAGGTAATGTATGATAGTACGCTAGTACCCTGGGGATATATCAAAGCCTATGGGTGATGTATAATAGTACGATAGTACCTGGGCTTCCTCCCTCCCGTTCTCCTTCCTCCCTTCCTCC